CCCCTGCTTCTGTCTTCACAGTGACCAAGATCTGTGCCCAGTGTGAAATGGAGCACAGTGCCGACGGCCTCATGGAACAGATGTGTTCCAGCGACTTCGGTGAGTGTGGAGCCCACATGGCCACTGCCCCAGTGCCTCTCCTTGACACACACACACACACACACACACACACACGTCCACAACCATCACACTGAATACTAACAGTTTCTGCATCATGGATTCCTCTTAGAATCTGATCAGGGCCATGAACCCTCTCCCCAGGGAAATGCAGCTCTTTTTGCAGGTTATCTCAGGGGCTTCAGAAGCCCCTCAAGGCCATGGTCCATCCCTGGCCAGGGCTCCTCCAGTCCTCCCTTGGCACTGGCCCACAGAGGGGCCTCCAGGGCTGGATTCCCTTTAGGAGAAGCAGGCTAAGCCTAGAGATGGATGGGGGCACCCGGGGGAGAGATGGGCCCCAGGGTGGAAGTACAGCACCCTCGTCCCTGGGCACCTCGGCCTGGTACCCGATGCACCGCTGGCCAGGCAAGCTGCAGTCACTTGTCCCACGGCTTCGTCCTGGGGCCTCTCCACTCCTGGGACAGTGAGCCAAGTCTAGTCAGGCCCACACGACCCAGCATGTGGCCTTTGCCAAGTTGACTCCTGTTTTGTGTCTTAGCCTCCCTGTCTGTAAAAAAGAGATAGCAATGAAATCCTTACTTCAGCAAGTCTTTTATGTTGTTAGTCTGTTTGTAAAGAGATTACTATTATTGCAAGGTATGTGTGTATCCGAGAGAGGGAAAGAGAGGGGGTAAGGGGAGAAAGAGAGAGATAGAAAGGTTTTATAAGTTTCCTTCCCTGGGTGGACAAAATCATTCTCTGGCATCTCCCTGGCTGCTCACAGAGATGGGGGATCCAGATGTCTGTAGAAGGGGGAGACTAGCCCAAGTGACCCCCATGTTCCAGACTCCCAGTCCCCAACTGTATGAAGCTCTCTGCAGCCACCCTGAATGTCCTAATCACCCCGATCACTCAGGCCTTCAACCACCTCCCCCACGCTCACCCCTACATTCACACTCCAGACATACCACAGATACTCTCATACGTAAAATACACAGCACCACACATCACACTCTGAACCCATTCTACAGTCACACAGATTACAGTGGTGTGTTTGCACCAGCAAGAGCTGGTTGTGCACACTTCCCAACCTAGTGCTCTGTGATGCGGTGGGCCATGGTGGGGGGATTTACCCCATGGGAACCAGCACATGCTACAGAGTGGGCCCCCTCCCTAGGGCCAGCTGTCAAACATTTATCAGCCCATCATTGCTCCAAACACACACACACACACACACACACACACACACACACACACAGAGCCCGAAATCGCATTTCAAAGCACCCCCAGAGATCATGAAGTCCAGCCTCCCTCCGTCACAAGGGCCCCGCCCCCCCCCCAAACCTCCCCGTCCAGGTGGGCAGCGCCACCTGAGGGATTTCCTGGGGACCCCGACACCCTACTCCACTCCCCACCAGGAGCTGTCCACCCTGCACCTGGTGTCATGGAAAGGCAGGGGCTCTGGGGTTAACCTCATTCCCCCCCTCCCCAATACCTCAAGGCTGAAACATGATAGTGCCAGTGAAAGTCCAGCACATGATAGGAGCTTCAAAAATGTACCCATATAAGCCCACCTTCCCAAGCCCCAGGCTTGGAACTTCAGGCTTGAGCACCAACTGTGGGGCCACCAGCAGCCGGAGCAAACCTGCCCATTCTCACACGGTCCCTCTGTCTACCCACCCCACACACAGTGGTTAAAATGCGCATCAAGGAGATCAAGATAGAAAATGGGGACCGGAAGCTGATTGGAGCCCAGAAAAAAAAGAAGCTGCTCAAGCCAGGCCCACTGAAGCGCAAGGACACCAAGAGGCTGGTGCTGCACATGAAGAATGGTGCCAGCTGCCCCTGTCCACAGCTGGACAGCCTGGCTGGCAGCTTCCTGGTCATGGGCCGCAAGGTGGACGGACAGCTGCTGCTGATGGCCGTCTACCGCTGGGACAAGAAGAATAAGGAGATGAAATTCGCAGTCAAGTTCATGTTCTCCTACCCCTGTTCCCTCTACTACCCCTTCTTCTATGGGGCTGCTGAACCCCACTGAAGGACGCTCCTCCCTGCCCCATCCAGCCAGCTGTGCCTTGCTCTCTGTCCCCACCCCTGGGGCATTCTCTCTCTTCCTGCCCATCTGGCCTCACCTCTATTCCCAGGCTGACCCAGCCCTGACAGAGAGCGGTTCCATGCAGAGCAGAGCTCTTAGCAGCACAGGCCCTAAGGAATGGGCATGGAACCCAAGCTGTCCTTGACTGAGGGGTTCTGGAGTCCCTGGGGACTTCTCTTAGGAGCAGAGCTTTCTCATTTGAAAGCTCAGGGTTTCAGAAAGTAGGTGGTGGGAGGAGAGAGCAAGGGAAGCATGGAGGGGCTCTGAGCAGCCTCACGAGGTGGTTTCCAGAACAGACCATGCTGTCAACTCCACTCTGTTGGTGGGGAGGCCTCGCCTCGGAAAGTCTCACTATTAGGCTGAGCTACTTGGGGGCCAGTCCCCCACCCCCACTGCTCCCTCGTGTCATCATAGTCCCCCCAAAGGAGGGGCATTAGGGTCGTAGCACCTTCCAGCTACAGTTCCCCACCTTCCCCATCTCTTCCCCTCTCCCTTCCTGCTAGACTGGAGAAGCCCAGCCCAGACCCCCTCCCACAGGCTGCTTTTTGGGATTCATCCCTCAGCCTCCGCATGTCCCTTTTACCCTGATGATGAGTAAATTATTGCTACGCAGCAAGGCCATAGGTACTAGATTAGTTGCAGGCAAGGTTTGGTTTTTAATTTTTTTTTTAAGTTTTTAATTAAATCAAAGAAAAATAAGTTGGTTTTGACTAGGTTATTTCTTTGTCAGCTGGTCCCCAGAGGTGGAGAGAGGGAGGGTCAGAAGGGACTTTTAGGAAGAGGCCCTTGTCATAACCCATGGCCTGTCCACACAGGCATACTTGGAACGCCTAAGAGCAATGCCCATGTTCTTGTAAGATCCCTTGAGAGCACCCTTCTCATCCCCATCACTAAGTGAGGGATGGAGATGGCCCTCCTTTTATTCCTGAAGAGGGAGATGCCAAGATCCTTCTCCCAGCCTTCTCCCATGGTCAAAAGGCTCTCACAATCCTGCCACACCTCCCTGACAATGTCTGCCCTCAGTTCCCAAGAAGGTTGGAGCACAGGAAACTACTCTGAAGAGCCAGGGGTCTAAACATGTCTCTCCTACCCCTTCAGCACTCAGACCCCCCTGCTCCCCGCCACCCCCCCCCCACACACACACACACACTGGGCACTGATCCTGAACTGTAGGGATAATGGTATAGACTTGTGCTACAGGGACCATAGAATCTGTAGCCCCTAGGAGCTGGTTAGAAATACAAGCGGGGGGGGGGGGGGCACCCCAGGCCTGCTGTATCAGAATCTGCATTTTCACACATAAACCTTCAAATCTAGACAGCTTTTGCAAAACACTGGGCCCCACTCTATGCAATTAAATCTGGATCTCTGGAGGGTGCTCGGAAATCTGAATCTCTAGATGCTCTCCGGGGTGGGATGCCGCCTGTGTTGAAAACCTTGATCTAGGTAAGCCAGCCGCTGAGGCAGGAGGGTGAGGGGCTGAGGTTACCTCAGGCTTGGAGCTTCTTGGTCCTGCGTGCGGGAAGGAAGTGGCTATAATAACCGAGGGGCTTCTTCAGCGACTTCAGAGCACACGCGGGCCGCTACCGTGAACTGAATGGGGCAGGGAGGGGAGAAGGCTTAAAATGGAGGCAACGGGCTCCTGCTACTCAGGGAAGGGGTGGCGTGAGGAAATCCCGGGGGTTTGTCAGGAATGCCGAGCGACGAGGCAGAGGTACCCAGGGCAGGGGGGCTGGGGACACCCCAGAGCAGCTTTCCTCACCAGAGACAGTACATACAGCTGCCAAGTCCAGTCCAGGCTCCCCGCTCCTCCAAGACAATGGGGCGCGTCCTGTGAGGAGGACCTTGGCTTCCAGGGCTCTCAGAGAAGCAGGCTGCCACAGAGAAGTGAGGCAGGCCAAAGGGCCCACATTCTGCTGTGGGGCCAGAGGAAGCTAACAGGTGGTCTGACAGCCTGCCCGTAAATCACCTCCCCGGGCAGTCAGGTGGCCTCACCACAGGTCAGGAGCAGCAGAGGCCTGCTTGTTTGTCCTCAGCTCCGAGGAAGCCGCTGCTGCCCACCCTCACCCAGAGCCCTCCAGCTCCCTGAATCTGCCCCTTGTCTCCCAAACTCCTACCCCGACCAAATATTTACGGACACTTCTATGGTCAACCAGGACCAGGGATTATTTTTCCACTGAACACACAGGACTCAAAGCAACTTCTGGCTAGAGCACAATAGCGACCTCTGTCAGGTGCTGGCAGCCAGTGAGAGGCGGCGGGCGGGGAGAGGCTCCCTTAGCCCATCCTGGGAAGCCCCAGTAAAGCACTCCTCCCCCGCACCCTACACAGGGGTCAAGCCCTGCTCTCTGCTCTGCTCCCGACATCTGCTGTGGGACCCTCCCGGCAGTCTCTCCCCTGGGACCAAGAAGAATCCTTCCAAAGACCGGGCAAAGCCCCACACGGCCTGAGCCCACCCTTCATTTCCTTCAGTCACAACATGCTCCCTCCTGGCCGGCCTGGAGACAGACAGCTGGTGCTGCCCGGTGAGCATCTGGGCTGTGTGTCGGTGAACGACTGCCTCTGACAGAAACCCCAAGAAACACTGGGGCTGCTCCACACGAGAGGTCTGGAGATGGGCTGGTGGGAGGTCCATGTCCCTGGCTCATTCTATCTTCCTGCCCTGCCAGGGGTGGCTTCTGTTCTCGTGGTCGCCTCCTCCTCCCCACTTCTCGACCACATTCCAGGCAGCAGGGCAGGGAAGGGCTTCAAGCAAAAGCAGCCTGTCAGCTGCCCCTGGCCCTTTTGATCAGGAAAACAGTACTTTCCCAAGTCCCACCTGGTAGATTTCCACTACGTAGCTCCTCGGCCAGAACGGAGTCACGTGGCCATCCCTAGTCGCAAGGGAGCAGAGGAAGTCAAGTGTTTCAGTCGGGTGCAAACTCAGAGTTCCGATAAAGAACAGGAAGGATTTGGGGCAGGCTGCTAAACACTCAGGATCAGGTGAAAAGAGGTAGGAGAGCCCAGTTCTGGGTTCCTATCCTGTGACTTAGGTACCATGTGACATCGGGAACACCGTAAAATGGAGTAATAATGTCTACTTCACAGGGTGGCTGAAAAAATAGGGAAATATCTGAAAAGCTCCTGGAGCCAGTGCCTGGCATTTGGGAAATGTTCATTAAATGATAATTAATATTTTTTATTAACCAAAGGCCTTGACCTAGCTAGCACAGTGCCTACACATAATAGGTGCTCAGTACATTCCTGATTGATTGGTTAACTAAGAAACGCTACTGGCAGAAAGGCAGGGAAAAGACGGGAACATCTTACCTACCCGGAGTGGTTACTTTCAGGAGGACAGAACCTACACTTGGGAGTTTGCTTCAGAAAATACACACCCAGGTGCGATGTAAGCCAATGGAGGGGAGAAGACATAATACTAGCAATCAAAAAATGTCAAGCCCATGCTGGGTGGCAGGCACTACCCCAGGCACTTTGGTATTATAATTTAATCCTGCCAACAGCCCTTGGAAGTAGGTACTATTATTATCCCCATTTTAATGATGAGGCTGAGGTTCAAAGAAGTTAATTAACTTACTGAAGGACACACAGCTTGTACATAGTGGTGGCACTAGGATTTGACCCCATGCTCTTAACCACTATACTACTGGGGGCGAAGCCCAGCGGGGGTGGGGTACAATGCCTCTGCTGCCCTGCCTTACAGGAAGATTTCTGGGAGCCCTGCTCAGATCCCCCTCCAGGGGCCATGACAGCGGCAGAGAAGCCTGCCTCAGACGGCGGCTTTTCTCCTGACTCCTAAAGCAGCCCACCCACCCCCAACCCCTCCTCCCCTCTCAGCCCCATCAGCATCCAGCCTCTTGAGCCCCACAAAGGAAGCTCACATCCCACAACTGTTTAGTCGGCTGTAATCCTGGCTAAAGTTCACTCCTTGGCAAATCCAACGTGGGGGGTGGTTGCTGCTGGAATGTGTGTGGCTGGGACCCAGTGTCCCAGCCCAGACAGCAGGCTCTGCTGGGGCCCTGAAGAAAGCAGGCAGCCAGGGGAATCCGGAATCCCCAGCCCCCAGCTGTGCTACAGAATGGAATGTGCTGCTCTGGGGTGTTGAAACAGACCCAACCAAGGGGGAGTGGTGCTGGCAGTTGCGGGGAGCTCCCGCCACAAGGCTGCCTCTGTTCCCCTGGAGGCTGAGCCCACTTTGCTAGGGCTAGGGATGGGCAGGCCCCTCCAGTTAGCTCAGGGGTGGCTCAGAAGATCCTGGAGCTAGTGGGGGCAAGGCAGAACAGAGGGGAGGGTGAGAACCAGGACTGTTACGTTCACCCAAAGTTTCTCTGATGAGGCATCTGCAAGCACCTGTGGCACGACCCACACCCTGGCTCCATGGCTTACTAGCTACGTGACCTTGTGCAGGTTACTTGACCTCTCCAGGCCTCCGTTTTACTCATCAGTTAAATGGAGTTAATAATCGAGCCTAGCTTCTAGGATTGTCATGAGGTTTAAGTAACAGTCGTGTTCAGCACATTGCCTGGTACGGTGTTCTACAAACGTAGGTGTTCTCATGATCTCAGAGCCAGCTATAGGGGAGATGCTAGAACCACAGCCTCTCAAAAGGGGTGCCTAGAAGGTTCCATGGAGATAAGGGCATGAAAATGGAACTTCGTTTGGCTTCAGCTCTGAGGGCCAGGTGATAAATGACTACAAATTCTGAAGGCCCCAGAAACCAGGACCAGTTCAAAGTCTGCCAGGGCTCACGGAAGACTGCTCCCCACCCCCACCAAACCACAAAAAGATGACAGAACCCTCAACTCAAGCCAGGCTGTGGGAGGTATCTGTCTGTCCCAGGTCTGTCCCAACGGGCACCAGAGCCGGAGCAGAACCTGGCTACTGTCCCTCCCGATGGGTGCCTGAGAACAAATTGGGGACATCTTTTAAACCAGGCATCCAGGAGCACCTGGGTGGTTCAGTCAGTTGCGCATCCGACTTTGGCTCAGGTCACAATCTTGTGGTTCATGAGTCTGAGTCCCGCATCAGGCTGTCAGCGTGGAGCCCGCTATGGATCCTCTGTCCCCCTCTCTCTCTCTGTTCCTCCCCTGCTCACGCTCTCTCAAAAATAAACATTAAAAATAAATAAATAAAAATAATAATAAACCAGGCATCCAATTCTCTGATGGCCAGTCCGTCCTCCAAGCCACCTCACATTCGGTCCTCTCCGTGCCGTGGACCCCCGCCAGCTGGAAGACACAGTCCAATCCTGGTAAATCCCTCCATGGCTCCATCTTCCCAGCGGTACCTGCACTTGAAAGTTGTCTATCCCTGGCTTCCCTTCTGTGAAGATCCAGACCCCGGATGGTGAAACCCACGTTTCCCAAGCCCCGGTATCCCATGTCCCAGATGCTACTCATGCTACAGACTATTTCATCAACGTTAGGCATTGTTTTCCTTTTCCCAAAATATTGACTCTGCTTTTTCAAACTACACACTGGCCTGATTCTTTCCTGAATAATAATCTAAGATTATTCTCTGATTTAAAAAAATAAATAAATAAAACACCACCGTTCTAAGCCACCCAGGCCATCTAGAACAGAGTTATCTTCACTGTAAGACTGCCAGGATGGTAGTAACAGACTCGTGTTTATGGAGCATTCAGCCTGTGCCCGGCACCGTGCTCCATGCCTTGCTCCATGCTCACTGACTCCTCCCAGCTGCCCTAAAAGGTAGAGGTCACTATTATGACCATTTTACAAAGGAAAGCAGCACAGAAAGAAAGGCCTAGAGGCAATGCCCCTGTGGCAACTCATTCCAGCATGGCCGCCGCCGATGGGAGAGCAGGGCCACGTGTGGGGCTGGCCATAGCAGTGCCTGCTCCTTACTGCCACCAGACTGTCCCTGGGTAACACAGGCTGCTCTTGCACTGAGAAGGGCCCTTCTGGTTCCATCCTCTAATGCTGTGGGAACACGTATCTTCAAATGGATGTGGTGTCGCTCCCAGACGGGCTGGTCTGGATGATCTCTGAACAGGCTGCCAACTGAGCTACTCCCCGCGACACACGCCATCCACGAGAGCATAGGCACAGCACCAGTAGTCTCTCCCCTGGGCCTGCACGATCACTGCTGTCCCCTTTGGTTCCAAGGCCCTATTTTCCGCTCCTCCAACATCTTTACTGTTCCTATGGACCACTAGGCTGCTGAGGCCACTCTGATGCTTTTTAAAGTGAACATGGTCTTCTGTAAAAATTGCCAGGAAGGGGTCCTGGCTGCTTCCCTGCCTCTCAAGGCCCCTCAGAGCTGCCAGGGCTCTCCCATATGGAATTTCCTGAGTTAGGAAGAATCGCCACAGACCAAGGCCTCTGTGAGCTGCATATGCAGGGGGCCGTGACAATGTGGCTGCAACCTAACCTCAACTCTGAGGCAGGGTCTCTCCTCCCGTTCTCTGCCCCAGGCCTCCGTCTGGAAGACCCAGCTCAAACTCAGCTCTGGTCTGCAAAGTGCCAGGTGAAACCTTTCACTACCACTACCTAACTTCCCTGGGCCTCAATGTCCTTACCTATAAAATGGGGGAAGAGTGCCCACCTCACAGGGCCATCCTAAGGATAAAGAGAATAATGTGTGTAAAGCACTTACCACTGAGACTGGCACCCAGTAAACACCCCACAAACCCTGCTTTCAGAGAACTGCTAATCCGTCCCATCTCACAGCCAATCCTCTTTCGGCCGCCTCCAGCCTGAGGGCCAATCCTTTTCTGCTTTCTAAGAGGGATTAGCTGAAATCTTTCCATTCTAAAGCCTGCATTGCTTAGTGCTGGCCAAGCCCTGGTCCTAACCCCGACCCCTCATAATTTGGTCACAAGACGGAGCCTCAAGTCAATCCGACACACATGTGCTAAGCCCCACCTGCACAAGGCACGGCTTTCCTCCCCTGCCCCGGCAAACACCCAGACTTCAGCGTCCACACCCCCTCCAGCCCCGTCCTGCAGGCACAGCTCAAGCCTGCAGACTCTGCCACTGCAGGGGGAGTCTGGCTCTCCAGCCTCAGGAGGAGGGTTAGTGCAAGGACCAGGACAAAAACATAAGAAGCTTGAGGCCTTTTTATTGACATTTCTCCATACACACAGAGATCCTTTCCGTTCCTCTCCAGTGTAAATGAAGCACAGGGTACTTCACTCTCATCTGTTAACAGAGGAGCCTGAGGAAGGGGGTATACCAAGGCCTGCCCACTTCCCCAGGGACTTGCACCTCCCTGGCCTGGAGCAGGCCCGACTGCCGGCCCTAGTTACACTGGTTGGCCTGGCGAGAAAGCTGGCCTCAGATGGCCTCTGTCTCCCCAGCCCGTCTCCTTGGATCTCTGCTCAGCCTCCCATGGGTCCTGGGTCCCCGGCAGCCCGTGGCTCCGGGGAAGCATCCTAGAACAGAAGCACCCCACTCTTCTTCATTCCATTCCTTGTGCCACCTGCTCCCAGGAACCATGCAATAAATAAATAAATACTTCAAAAAGGCAGGGCAGCTCCAAGGAAGGGAAATGGTGCCTGAGCCTGCTCAAGGCTTAGGGAGAGACACTGACGGCCTAAAAGTCCAGAGTGAACATAAAACTGTTGTAGAGGATGGGGACCTCAAGTGGCCTTAACCCGCGAGACTGTCCTGCTGGGGAACAGTGCCAGAGTCTAGGACCCAGCCCAGAGAGATCCTACACTTCCCAGGCCCCCAAGGGTCAAGGGCTTCAGGACCTCTGCTCTGCTTGCCTATCTCACACTCCATGGGACAAGGGGCCAGGGAGAGAAATGCAGCTCTGTGCCAGAGGAGGGATGCCCAAGGCTCCGAGCAAAAGAAACAAGAGTGATCTGAATGCCTGGCATCTACCCAATGGAGCTGTCACCAGGGTAATATGTGGCCTGAGATTCTGCTAGTGAAGGTTTCTGCAAGGTAAGGCTGAGGCCCTTTGAGCTGCTGGGGATCCCTATGTTTTTTCCCACTTAATACTAAAGAACTCTGACAGGCCCTCCTAGACACATCCTCCTCTGGGAGAACATGGAAATTTCAACCCTGTTTCTAGAAGGACTTTCGGTCTGGTTAGCCCTGGCCATACCCTCTGGTGGAGAAACAAGGAGATGCTGATGCCTGAAGGAACGTTCGCAAAGCAGAGTGGGGTCACGGCACGTCCAGGCCCTTCTGCAGGCTCTCAGGGGCCAAGGGCTTGGACCAGCAACCAGCAGAGGAAGAATCTCTTTTCCCAGTCTCTGATCTCTGGTCTCCTAGAACTGTCAGGTGTGGAGAGATGCCCTGATGCTCAGAGACCCTACAGAGACCAGGCCTAGCTCACTCCTGCCCTCTAGTTTATATTCCCTGCCCAGCTCTGAGTCCACTGATCAGTCCAGAGCAGAGGAGGGCACATATGCCAGGCCCTCCAGGGGCTCCTCTTCCCTCTGGGTTTCGAGAACTGCTGCTTACTAGCCCTCCGCAGGAGTGGGGAACAGCTCCAGAATCCGGCTGGAGACAGCGAGGACAGGAAGGGGACGCCTACCTAGCGTTCAGGCCACATTTGCCCAGCACACACCACATGCGGCTAGGGAGGGTGAGGCCTGCTGCTGGCCCCAGGGACCGACGCCCACTTTGGACCCCAGCCCCTCTTCTCACTTGCTCAAGGTCTGGTTACACGAGGCACACACAAACACAGTCTCTCTCTGGGCTTCGGGGGCTGAAAAGGAGGAAGAACTTGGTGAGACACTTCCTCATGCCCCTTGGTTATGGCCCCAATACTACAACCACCTCCCCAACCCCCAAAGCCCCACAAGAGCTGCCCACCAGCCAGCCCACATCTTCACTAACCCAGCTCACTAGCCTGCCCTCAGACTTCTCTTTCCACGGGGACAGGGGACTGTAGGAGTGACCATACCAACAGCAGGCCTCTCCCAGGTGCTCTACATTAGAAATTATTTTGGCACCAACAAAACCCCATTGAAAATATTTTTTAAATACAACACCAAAAGTTCATTTTCCAAAATGTTTTAACAGTGGTTATCTCTAGGAAATAAAATTACAGGATTATTTTTTTCTTCCTTCTTCTTCTGTATCGTAATCTCCAAATCTTCTAGAATAACCATGTTACTTGCATGACCAGAAAGAAAACCAAAAAACCTCGATTTGTGATTATAACATATTTCAGGCAGTATGAAAAACATGCTCCCAATTTTTTTAGAAGATGCATATGCATTTATCCTACATGCACACTGGTGCTCTCCCTTTATCCGTATCTTTTGTTTACAATGAGTATGTACAGCTTCTATAGAAGGAAAAGAAATTATTTTTGTTGTTGTTGTTAAGTGTTACCAAGGTAATGAGAACAAGAATAAAATTTAGGACGGTGGCTTCCTCTGGGGAAGGCAGGATGGCACCAGGGAGGCTCGGTAGTGTTGCTAATGCTCTCTTTTTTTAACTTCAGTGAAGCAGCCACAGGTATTTAGATTACACCTTATAATTCAGATATGTTAAATAGGTTCCTTTGCATGCATCAAATACTCCAGTGTTTTGTGTGTTAAAGAATGGAAAATGTTTCTACGGGCCAGACAGGATCCCGAGTTCCCCTGCCTTCTCACTGAGCCCCTACTCCCTTCCCACACTGCAGCACCCCTTGGAGGAAGCGGGAACCCACCAAGCCCTACCAACAGCCTGACCCCCGGCCACTTGCATCACTCACCTGTGGCCCCCATGGAGGATTTAGGCACCTTGAAGGAGCAGCACCGGGAGCAGAAGCTGTTTCCACAGTTACTGCAGCTTCGCTGCAGAGAAGAGCCAAGGTCAGTATCAGATGCGTCCCCCACACCCAGAGCCCACCTCCTTTCCACCAGGTGATCCCACCCAAGGAACCAGAGACTACTGTGGGACTAGGGAGGTGCCCAAGTGGGGCAGGACAAAGCAAACACAACATCCAACGGGAGGGCTGGTGAAGGCGTGGGCATGGGGGTAGGGAAGCCCTGCTCATTTGAGCAAACCTCGGACCCCAGGACCAATGTGGCCCAGCGACTCCCCACTACTCCCCTGCATCTCATCCCAAGCCCCTGAAAACACACCGTCAACGAGACTTACCCTCTTCTTCAGCACTGAGAAGGTGGCCGAGCAGCCCGTACAGTTCCCTGACAAACAGAGGTAGCAGCTCAGCCCTGACCCAACCCAGGCCTGAACTCTCACCTGCCCCTGGCTCTTCTAAACAGGCCCACTCAGGACACCAGCCCAGCCCAGACACCGTGCTAGGAGCGGTGCACAAGGGAGCAAAGTCCAGATCTGCAGACAGAAGGGAGGACTCAAGCTGACAGTCCCTGGGAGTCCATGTCTCCAGACCATACACAGCTGCCGGTCCACAGGCCTTCCCAGGACTTAAAGTCTCCACCTGTAGGTCCAGCCAAAACCGAAGAACATCCAGCAGAATCTGCTCCCTGGAAATCACACCAAGCTGGGGAGGACCTGACAACAGGCATCCTTCAGAGAAGGCAGCTCCAAAGAGCGCAAACCAAACCTGCCTGACACAACCCCTACCCAAGTGTCTCCTCACAAATACTCCTTGCAAATACTTTGCCCACAGGTAAATTCAGAAACATCTCCTAAAACCCAACTCCTGCTTCCTGCCATCTAAAGATTCCAGGAGAGGACCTCAGAACCAGGCATCCTCCAAGAAGTCACGCAGGGCAGAGAGAGGCACAGACACTGTGAGAGGTGGGCAGAAGGGAGCACGACAGAGCTGCAAGACAGACCCACCTAAACCACCACACAGGATGACAATTTGCGACCATGACCACGGTGGCAGAGGAGCAACAGCAGCTTAGCAAACGCACAGGAGGAGGGGAGGGGGTGTGAGAAGAGATGAGAGACAGGGAGGAGGGAACCGAAAGTTTTTTCAGAGGCCGCTGCGCTCACCACCCACTCATGCTTCCAGGAAAGTTAAGGATGGAAAAGGTGGACCAAGGCAAAGGCAGTCTGCTGAAGAGGGGGCCTGCAAGTGAATGATGAGAACCAAAAGGGAGGCGACCTGAGGAGGAGGAAAAGCCACACTGGCTTCTCCAAGCTCCACAAACAAAAGCAAACCCTGAAGAGAACAAAGAAGATTCCAAGGGCTGCCCCCAGGATCACAGACTGTGGTTTGAGGCAGAAATCTCCGCGCAGGCCCGGGGCACTGACCCAGGGGAGAAAGGCACGAGGGTGCTCCCGGAAGGGGCTACAGAGCCCAGCAGGAGGCTGAGTTGAGTCCTGGAAAACTTGGAAGCAGATAATAAGGCTACTGGAGTAAGTGTCTACAACTTGGGGCCCAGAGGCCTCCTGCGATCTGGCCAGAGCAATTGGCAGCTTCAGGAAGCACTGCTGAGCCTCTCGAACCACCTGTATGACCAGGTACAGGAACCCAGGCCTCATCTTCATGCAAAGGCCCAAAGCTGTATTGACAGCTACCTGTGGTCCCTTCCTCTGTTCTGCCAGAACCCCGTGCAGCTCTTGCTAAAGGACACTCCCTGCGTTCAAGGAAAGGAGGGCCCAAGCTAGAGCAAGGAGAAACCTGAGGCCAAGGTGTACGAGGTGAATGCCACTGCTGCCAGTCGGCTCATGGCCCAGCAGAGGAAAGGACATGGAAAGGCATAGCGGGGGCCGCTGCCTTGATGCCAAACAAAGAATCGGGCCACGCTAAGACTTTGGCCCCCACGCTAAGAATGTGGGCAAAGCCACCCATCCATGCTCCTCCTCGGCAAGGGGAGCAGGGGCATGGGCATGGGGCAGGGGACCGGAGCCACTCAAAGACTGACACTCACATCCACGTCCAGGATGGAGTGCCAAGGCCAAGCCACCCAAGGCTGCCATGTGGTCCCCCAAGTAGCCGTGCACAAGCCTGGGCCAAGGAGGGCTTAGGGTGCTGACACCGGCTCAAGACAGGTGTATGGAGGAAGCACCCATTCTCTTCCAGCATCTACCAACTTTCCCTGCCCTCACTCTCAGCAAAGGGCCTGACTCACCATGTGATGATGCCATGGGAGCAGGCAGAGCAGGGAGGAGCCCAGGACTACATGGACCCTGCAACGGTAATGGTCACAGAGCCTCTGGGACAGAGGGGGGCCACAGAGAAGCTCCTGAGCAGCCTGTCCTCATTTTTCCCAGGCACCCCCATCATCCACTGGCATCTGGAACGGAGTGGCCCTGAAAGTGGCTCACCCCATGCTGGCCTGCAGGAGCCAGACCCAGAAGCGGAGCTGCTACGGCTGACCTCATGGCAAAGACCCTGAGAGCATCTCAAGGAAGGGACAGAGAGCAGTTTCGAAAAATGTAAAATTAAGAGGGGAAAAAGAAGCATTTTCTGCCCTTGCCATCTTCATGTGAACCTAAAAGGCCTTCACCCATCCCAGCAGGGATTATCTGAACTGAAAATCAAATACCGAAATGGGACAGACATAAAACGAGAGGACTTCGGACACTACGGCAAAAGGAGGAAGATGAGTTAGAAAAACAAGAACACAGGGGCACCTGGGTGGCTCAGTCGGTTAAGCGTCCGACTTCGGCTCAGGTCATGATCTCACAGTTTGTGGGTTTGAGCCCCGCATCGGGCTCTGTGCTGACAGCTCAGAGCCTGAAGCCGGTTTCAGATTCTGTGTCTCCCTCTCTCTCTGCCCCTCCCCGACTTGCGCTGTGTCTCCCTCTGTCTCAAAAATAAATAAACATTAAGAAAAAAAATTTTTTTTAAAAAGAAAGAAAAACAAGAACACAGGAGCCAGAGCAGATGGCTTGGATTTGAGTCACAGCTCGACCATTTACTGGCTGAGAACATGGGCCGAATCACTCTTCTCACCCAAGGTTACTCACCTGCAAATGAGAACACCTAAGGCCCTTTACTTAAAATTCAGATACAAATGAATCACATGCTACAGCTAGAGTACTAATTCTTCTGTAACGTCACTTGGGACTTCTGGGACCCAGGCTGCTTCTAAGCCCTAAGAACTGCCTGTCCCTAGCACATCTCCCATCGGAACTAAATGAGACCACGTACATGCAAGTGCGCTGAACACAGAGCTCCAGAGAAGCTGGTGATCATCATGAATAAAATGGAACTTGAAATGACTGAGGGACACTCACACAGCTGAAAGACACAGCATGTGGAGGACCTCTAATCCTGAAAAACAACTGCGCTGGGTGCTACAAGGGCAGGAAGGGAGGTCCCCGGATGCTCTGGGTCAAATTCCTCAAAACAAATCCCAGGGGCTTCTCCCAGGGTGCAGGCCGTAGAACTCACTCCCACCAGAACACACAGTATAGCCACCTCACCCTCTTCCCTGTCAGCTGACACTAGGTACAAGTAAGGCTCTTCCTCAATCATAGCACCCAAGTCACCCGCGCTCTTCAGCCAGAACTCTGTGTGGCTCATTAATCGCTGTTCTGGCCTGAGTCAGGTTTCCCACAGAGCTAACAGTCAAGTCCACCCTTCTCCAAAGCTGCCATCCTTGACCCACACCCACCTCCCAGTAAAGTAAGCACTTGGCTGAGGAGAAGGGACCTCAAGGTTCTATCACAGGCAGAGGAAGATACAAAAGTATCTTTGCTTCAACTTGTTTCAACTTGGATAGGAAAGATCCAGACAAGCTCCTCGGCACCTGCAGAATGGACCAAGCCCTCTCATACTAACAGCACCCCTTATTAAGCATTTACCATGACTCAGCCAGCATTGTGCTAACACGTAACAAGCATCATCTCATTAGAGACCTATAAGAGTCCTGTGAGCTAAGAACTATTCTTACTGCCCTTTTACAGAAGGGGAAACCAAGGCACGGAGAGATTAAGTAATTTGCTCAAAGACACCCAGCAGAGCTGGAATTTATACCAGGCAATCAGACTCCACATTCTATTCTCAATCATTAGGCTCCACTGCCTTCTGAGGCTCTGTCTCAGGGTTACATCTCTACAGTCCTGGAGCGGCATTTCTCAAACTGAGTGCCTCAACTTCCCACAAGCTAATACTCAGTAAGGACAGAGGGACACGAAGGAACCTACACTTGCTCCCTTGGCAGTCCTACTGTGTGTCTGCTACCTTCCCAGGGGCCTGGGGACACAGCTTCACTCCTTGCTCTGGTCACAAACCAGAACCCACAATTCCAAGACTCTGGCCCTGTGGCCACGGTGCCCACGGTGCCCCCGTCCCTCAGCCCCGGCCATACCAAAGTTGTTGGTAGGGTAGCGTTTGCGGAGCCGCTCCGTGAGCCGGGACACCTTGCTGCGCAGCACCTCGTTCTTGCTCAGGAACCCGTTGTCCTGCAGAACCAGCTCATCTTCTGCTGGGCACGGGGCACCCTCGTCATCCTCCTGCGGGAACAGCTCCTTCCAGTCCTGCCCACCTCGCGGCGGGGCTCCGGGACCCACGTGCAGAGGCACCCAGCACAGCAGACCCAGGAGGCATGGTGATGGCTGGCTCAGTCGCCCTCCCCCCTGCCCAGCCCCTGCCCAGCTCACCGAGGCTCCTACTTACCAGCACCACCAAGTGGGTCTCCTGCCTCCCGAGGAGCAGGGGAGAAGGAGAGAAAAGAGAGAGATAGCAAGAAGAAGGAAGCTGCTGGGAGGGGGCGCCCAGGCAAAAGGAAACACAGAAGTGCCACTCTTGAGTTCTGTCTGAGCACGTCCCAAAGGGTGACCCATTCACAGAGGCGCCCAAAGAAGGATCCCAGGACTGGGAGCAGCAGTATACTACTGTTTTTCAAATTGGGTGAAATTAAGTGGATTGTTATTTTAACAGAGCAGAAATTTATAATGTATTTTCAGAAAACTTGCTTCATTTAAGTTTTACATATTTTACAGACATAAGTGTGAATTAGACTAAGATATAAAATGTGTTCACTACTGTGGGTTATGAACAAAAACACTTGAAAGTCCTGGCTGTATATATCCTCCACCACCACCACCACCACCACCACCCCCACCAAGATGCACAGTCTGCAATCACATATTAATGTCTTGGAGAAATCTTTCAGTAGCTGAAAATTTAACTGCCTACGTGGATGGGACTAAAACGAGAGAGGTGAGTTAGGGCAAATCACAGGCCCAGGGGCAACTCACAAAACCCCATTTCTTATCCCTCAATTTCCCACTTACAAAGGAACATAGAAATGACTTTCTGCTATACAGAAATACAATAGCACAGCTGTGACAGTAAACAGTAACCACCATAAGGACTCAGTGACTGGGGACAAGGGGAGTGGGGGCAGTGATGGGGACTAGGCGATTTTTCTAAAGGGGACAGTCACTCCTCAGCTACACTGACCACTGAAGACTCAGGGCTACCAGAGCTTCTGATTTTTCAGAAGACACTGAAAATCCAGACTTTTCATTAAGATCTCCTCCCCATTTGTAAATTTTTTAAGTCTTGCATGCCAAATAAAACACTTCTGTGAACTACCAGTTTGAACCACTGTATTAAAATGAGAAAGACTCGGGGTGCCTGGGTGGCTCAGTCGGTTTGGTGTCCAGCTTTGGCTCAGGTCATGATCTCACGGTTCATGGGTTCAAGCCCCACATCAGGCCTGAGAGCTTGGAGCCTGGAGCCTGCTTCGGATTCTGTGTCTCCCTCTTTCTCTGCCCCTTGCCTGCTCACACTCTGTCTCTGTCTCTCTCAAAAATAAAACATTTAAAAAAATTAAAATCAGGAAGACTCTTTGACCTATTACTTGACCTGCAACCACTTTCTCCAGCTTCCCCTTCCTGCCTCCAAGAGATATCTTTCTAATCTCATTCTGCATAAGGGCAGTCAGAGGCCCAGGGCAATGCCCTCCCTCGAATCTGCCTTCCCCACATCAAAGGCACCAAGCCCAGAGTCCCCAGTCTAGGTGGGAAGTGACCCCCCCCCGCCAACTGCAGAGTGTTTCCCAGAGGCTTCGCTGCCCTGGGCACCCTGAGAGATGTAGGTCAGCTACAGTATGAGTGGAAGTTCACAGGTACCCTTTCGTGCAGTGAGTTCTAGCTCAGAACCAGTTCTGGCTGCTGATCTGGATAGAAGAGAACTGAAAAAACCTACATTTGGGACACAAAAAGCCAGCTGGCTCCCGGACCATCTGCCTGGTGGGTAGGGGGCGTAGGGAAGGACCACCCACCTCAATCGCATCTTTAAACTCCTCATCAGGCTCAGCCTCCTCGGCCTCCTCCACACTTCCGGGCGTGAGGTCCTGGGAAAAGAGAGGATTACAGAAGGGGAGGGACGCGGCCCTGCCCACTTAGGCAGAGGCCACTAGCAGCAGAGCCAGCACCCAGGTTCCCCAGAACATCTGTCCCTGCCCAGAAGAGGTGGCACACCTGCAAGAAAGAAGTCATGAGAAGGAGAGTACCCTCTGACCTCCAAGGACAGGGGGATGGGCCCAACACCACAGGTGGCCCTACGGTGGCTGCAGAGCACAGTGACCGACAGCATGGGTTCTAGAACCACAGGGCCTGGTCTGAGTCCTGGCCGCACCATGTGCAGGCAACTACTCTGTGCCCCGGCCACCTCCTCTGCAGAAAAGGATCCTCTCATTCTCAGAGACAACCTACACCTCCAAGGGTTGACACCTACAGCAGGGTAAGCAGTCAACAAAGCGCCCAATTGCTACTACGGTTACTATTATTATTATTAAACACTTCAGAGGAAATGAGGCCGGGGAAGCAGCGGGAACCAGAACAAGGCCAGGAGCTGTGCAGTATAAATAAGCTGGGAACGGGAAGGCCCCACAACCTGCCCACAGCAGGCTCTGCCCTGACAGTGGGGGGCGCTCACCTCCGTGGGTGTGGGCGCAGGCGTGCAGTCCGGCAGGGCGCACTTTCCCCCAGCATCTGGCAGCGGGAGGCTCTCAAAGACACCGTCTTCCTGCTTGGGGTTCATCCGCCGCTGCAGACATGCCCTGTACTCAGATACCACTACTCAGGGCAAGAACCGGGGGGAGGCAGAAACAGGATGGAATGAGCGGTGCCCTGGGGGACCCCCTTCTGCAGGTGGCTGGCCTGTTCCACCAGCGGCCCACTCTCCACAGCAAGAAAGTCCCCTTCCTAACTCTGAACAAGTCACCCAACCTAAGCTTCGTAAACGAAACAGAGATACTACCACCCACCCCATGCGATTGCAATACAGAGATTAAATGTACTAAGTGCTTCACGAATTACAGCTTCTGTAATTAATTACTCAGGAGAAAAAATACAGCAATCACCAAACATATGCATAGGCCCGGACTTCTGTGACTGAGGGCCTCTCCAGACTGCCTGACTGCTTTAGAAGCAAGACAGCCGACAAGAACTCTGGGACCACAGAGTACTGGCAGCATCTCAGGAGGCGGATGGCAGCACTGGGAAAACATCCCTCCCTCGCCTCCTAGAAGCCACCACATCATGTAAACAGGGATTCACCTGCTTTGGGAAGGGAGAGGGACCCTACAGCAGCAGCTTTGCCTGTTTCCCTGTATCCCACCTGACATCTGAGAGATGCACATCCCGGGGACCCTCTGAGAAACTACCCTGGCGTGGTGCTGCCCCCTTGTGGATGGCACAGCAAACAGACGATTAGCTGTAGAGACTTGGTAAACGGGGGAAGCCTAACCTAGCCCTCAGAGCCTGGGCCCCAACTCTGTCAAGCTGTCCAGGGCTTACCTCGGAAGAACTCCACATTCCCCAGAAAGAGCGTGCTGTTTAAAAGGGCAAGGACCCAGCACAGGGGCAGCAGGTACAGCATGCAAACTGTGCCCAGAAGAGCCCCATAGAACCTGCATGGACAGAGAGGAACCACAGGGTCAGAAATTCTTAAGATCAGAAGGAAACCAATTTGGAGCACACCCACATGGCAACAGGCACGCTTAATAATAAACCAATGAGGGGCGCCTGGGTGGCTCAGTCGGTTAAGTGTCCGACTTCAGCTCAGGTCACGATCTCGCGATCTCGCAGTCCGTGAGTTTGAGCCCCGCGTCAGGCTCTGGGCTGATGGCTCAGAGCCTGGAGCCTGCTTCCGATTCTGTGTCTCCCTCTCTCTCTGCTCCTCCCCCGTTCATGCTCTGTCTCTCTCTCTGTCTCAAAAATAAATAAACGTTAAAAAAAAAATTAAAAAAAAATAATAATAATAAACCAACGAGATCTGCTCGTCAAACAAGTGGGTGAGAGATTACATGGAGGGACATGTTTCTACTACTATGATTATTTGTACCACCCCCGAAAGTGTCTAAACAAAAGCAGTACATTCCAGCTCACAGGTTTATGTGCAGGTTTACACACAAGAGTCTCAGAGGCTCTCTGCCCCTGAGCTAGGCGAGCAGGGACTCCAGCGGCAAATCCCAGCAGAACAGCAGTGGGGGGAACGAGGGCCACTCACTGCGAGGACGCGGCAGGGTTCTCCCAGTGCAGCACGCGGTAGGCAGCTTCGCAGGTACGGCACAGGCGGCTCAGGAAGGCCTCCAGCTGGATCAGGCTGCGGGCACACAGGGTTTCTGTGAGCCGCGCACCCCGGGGCCGGCCGGAGCTCAGGGCCACAGAGCCCAGGACTTCACAGAGACGGCTAGCTAGGCACAGCTGGTCTCTTCAAACCCACGAGAGGGGCCAGAGAGCTCAGAAGAAACTGCATACATTTCAGTCCCCTTTTCAGGACCCCTCCTGAGGTGTGAACAGGACACAGGTTCCTGCCTGGGTCTCTTCCAGGCTGTTGATGTTGGGCTACTTGATGTTCCCAGGGCTGAAGTTTCCTCATTCATAAAATGAGGAGCAGGGTACCCACCTCCCAACACACTGCAGCTACGGGATAAATGGCAGGATGGATATCAGTGTATCTCCACCTGGGCTGTGAGGCAGACTCACTTGGGAGGGTTTTTTTAATGGCTGCACTCCCAGAAGCAATGAACGCACGCTGCACCCAGATCTTGGTTTCTGAAGGGCTCTGGGGATAAATGGCTGATTCTAGAGTGGGGGCAGCACAAGCGTGAGATAAATCTGAACATCACATGTACTCAAAAATAATGGGGACATATTGAAAGGACACAAGAGCCATTTCAAAAGAGTTCCTACTGCCAAACCTAGGACAGTCTGAGATCAAAATAATGACAGTAATGGATTATAACCCATTAAATAAAACTAAGAATCTTGAGTTCGTATTGGTAAAAGGAAGAGCTCTTTCTTACAGCGGAATACCAGCTAACAATGACAATTAGAAAATCACCTTTGTAACTATCACAGTAATAAACTGATCAAGGCAAAGACCCAGCAATGGCCGCCGTCTGATAGAGAAACCTTAACCAACTGATCAAAGTTAGTATCTCCCATAACAAGACAGACTGACATCACGTACCTCCTGACAGGATACACTGACAACAACACACACACTGTTTGTGACATTCCCGCCGAAAATGTATAACCTTAATCTAACTACAAAGAAACAAACAAACCCCAATTAAGGGATATTCTACAAAATAATAATCTTGTTTTTACTTAAAAAAGTCAAGGTGTGGGGTGCCTGGGTGGCTCAGTCGGTTGAGCATCCAACTTCATTCAGCTCAGGTCATGATCTCACCGTTCGTGGGTTCGGGCTCTGTGCTGACAGCTCAGAGCCTGGAGCCTGCTTCCGATTCTGTGTCTCCCTCTCTCTCTGCTCCTCTCCCACTCACACTCTGTCTCTCTCTCTCGAAAACAAACAAACATAAAAAAAATATACCCGGGTGCCTGGGTGGCTCAGTCAGTTAAGCATCTGACTTCAGCTCAGGTCATGATCTCACGGTTCATGGGTTCAAGCCCCGCATCAGCCTCCGTGCTGACAGCTCGGAGCCTGGAGCCTGCTTCGGATTCTGTGTCTCCCTCCGTCTTTGCCCCTCTCCCACTTGAGCTCTATCTCTCAAAAAGGAATAAATGTCAAAAAGTTTTCTTTTCATTTAAAAATGTCACGGTCATAGGGCTCAACTGGCTGGGTGGCTCAACCTGGCTAAGCGTCTGACTCTTGATTTCAGCTCAAGTCATGATCTCACAGTTTGTGAGTACGAGCCCTGCATTGGGCTCTGCACTCAATGTGGAGCCTGCTTGGGATTCTCTCTCTCTCTCCTGCTCTCTCTCTCTCTCTCAAAAATAAACAAACTTAAAAATTAAAAAAAAAAAGTCAAGATCATGAGAAACAAAGACTAAGGAACTACTCCAGGATACAGGAGACTAAGAAGACATAAAAACTAAATGTAATGTATGACTCAGGACTGGATCCTGGATCGGGGTAAATTCATATAAAAGACCTTATTAGCACAACTGGTAAAATCTGATTATGAACTGTGTATTAGATAATTGCACTAATGCCGTTAGCCACGTAAAATTTCCTAATTTTGATTAGAGGATTATGGATATCTAAGAGGATGTCTTTGCTCTTAGGAAAGAAGCATTTGGGGTAAACAGGCATGATGTTTGCAACTTACTTTCAAATGGTTCAGGAAGAAAAAAAATAATGTGCAAGGATACAGCAACAGATGAAGCCAATGTCGCAAACTGTTAGTAATTGTTTTATCTGGGTAAAGGGCATAAGGGAGTTCTTTGTATTATTCTTGCAACTCCCATTTAAGTTTAAAGTCATTTCAAAATAAAAAGGTTTTTTGTTGTGGTTTTTGTTTTGTTTGTTTTTTTTTTTAAAAAACACAGATACCCAGACCCACTCCAGATAACTGACTCAGGCCAGGCCCAGGCTCCGTCTGTTTGTAACTCTTGTCTGCAGCTTTGCAGATGCTGTGGTTACTGTTATTCACCAGTCGTAAGGTGCTTCTTCAGAAGTACCAGCTCTCTCACATTTAGGAAGCCTCTCAACAGCACAGTGATGGTGACTGGTATTTACTGAACACTTCCTGGGTACCAGACACTCATTTACTCTCCACACCCACCTATGAGGTAAGTCTACTACTATCCCATTTAACGGATGAAGAACCCGAGGCACAGGGAGGCTGGGCAGCTTGCCCGACGTCACACAGCAAGTAAAGGGAAGAGCTGGCATTTGAACCCTGGCTCCTGTGCGCACATGCTTAGTCAAGACCCTAAATTGGGTCTCTGGTGGAAAGAACACAAACTGTTGTGAAATCAGCTAGATCTGGATTCTCGTCCCACCATGGTCCCCTTTTAGCTGTGTGTGCCTCTTTCCTCAACCATAAATGGAAGATAATAATAGCAGCTACCTCCCAGAACTGGTGGAAAGACGAAAGGAAATAACATCTGTGGTTTGCCTAACACAATGCCCGGCACAGAGCAAGTACTCAGTGCGGCGGTCGTGACTGCCTCCCACCTCCCCAGCCCCTTTCATACTCACAAGCTCTTCACCTCAGCCACAGCCTCGGGGCGAGACAGGCGAACTCTCTGGAGGTCCTCCTGCCTCACGCTGTGATACTTCCTCCGCATCAACTCAGACTCAGGCAGCCGTGCCCGGCAGACCTCCTGAAGGTAGCCCAGGAGGGCGGGCACTGAAATCATCAGGGCACCCACCGAGTACCACGCACCTATGGGATCGACGATACTGCAGGTGAACGGGTAGCGAGGACCGGCAGCCTCTGCCCACCAGATGCCCACGTGTTAGCTCCCTCACCTCCTCCAGGGCTCCGTCCAGAAGGCCTTCCCTGATCACCTCGCATGACACAGTATCTGGCCTGCTCCCTCTCCAGCCCTTTAACTCAGCTTTAGTCTTCCTCGTAGAATTCCTATCGCCCTCTGGGGCACCTGGGTGGCGCAGTCGGTTAAGCGTCCGACTTCAGCCAGGTCACGATCTCGCACTCCGTGAGTTCGAGCCCCGTGTCGGGCTCTGGGCTGATGGCTCGGAGCCTGGAGCCTGTTTCCGATTCTGTGTCTCCCTCTCTCTCTGCCCCTCCCCCGTTCATGCTCTGTCTCTCTCTGTCCCAAAAATAAATAAAAACGTTGAAAAAAAATTTAAAAAAAAAAAAAAAGAATTCCTATAGCCCTCCAATAGGATTCCTATAGCCACACAACTGACGATATGTATAGTTGTCTCCTTCACAATATAGGCTCTTGAGGGCTGGGACTTCATTTGCTTGGTCACTATAGCCCCAGACCCATTTTTTTTTTTTTTTTAATATTAAAAAACTCATGCTAGCACACAGTAGGTGGCTCGTGCCTGGAGTCTGGCCGCTGGAGCACCCCCTGACTGACGTGCTGACCTCTGGGCCACTGGGACAGATTAGAAGTCTTTCTTTTGGCTTTTGGAATACCACAGACCAGACCACTGTGGACTAAGAAAAGGGAATGCTGAGAGAAAATCCAAAGAAGAAACTTGGTCCATGCAGTACGGTACCCCCAAAGCAAGCTAACAGAGCACTGAGCACAGAGTAAATGCTTGTTAAGTATCTGTCATATGATTTACTTTGGAAATATGTTAAGAAAAATCTTAACAGCCTGAGAAGGATATCTGAGTTTAGAACAGGCAAAGAGTCCTACTAAGAAACAAAAAACGAGGTCTTCTGTGAACTGGGTTTATTTTCAACCCATCAAATCCATATCTCCATAGGAAACAAAGGAGAAACTTGAGAAATGCAAGTTCGAAAGAAGAGTGAAAATGTGAATAAAGGTCCCAGCTCCTCAGAACATTCTGTCCCAGGCCCTTCACACATTCACCCTAGGGATTCAGCTTTTTCTGCAGCCACCTGCCAGTTCCAAACAGGAAACCGGCTGGGTCCTGGTATATCTCGTCACAAAAGGTCCCCAGGAGACATCACTACCCAAGACCCCTAGAGCCACCCACCTGTCCACCCGTCTCCCTCAAAGGCTCCACACCACAGACCCCTCATTGCTGGTGACTTCCCAGCAGCCCCCCTCCAGGCTCATTTGCTGAGCCAGAGAAAATCCAGAGATACGGCAAAAATCTCTACAAAAATCTATTCACCTTCCTGGTACGCTGACCCCATGTCATGCCCCAATGACCCCAGAATCAGCTTGAAAGTCAAAATGGAAAAAGGTCAATCCGCCAGCATTCAGTCAAGAAGGAAACAAAAATAATAATAATAGCTATCATACATCGGCTGCTTACTCTGTGTCAGACACTGTGCTAAACGTTATACATAGACTGTCTCACTCCGCACAACCACCCTCGGAGGAAAGCACCCTCCTGTTAGAGATGAGGAAAATTAGGCCTTAACAAACAGATTCAAGAACTTGCCCAAAGTCTTCCAAACCACCCAGCCAGGATTCCAGCCCAGAGTGTCTCTCCAGAGCCAGTTTTCTGACATCAAGCAGACATGAAACAAAGCCACCTCCAGGGCAAGACAGGCAGCCACTTCTTGAAATTCTTTCCCACATTCATTCACAAAAACCCCCTGGCCCCTGGAAGCAATTCTTACCTTCATTCAAAGTGAGGAACAAGATGTTGAGGCCCAGGCAGGTCAGCAAGGAACACAAAGGTGTCTGCCACCTACAACACAAGAAAGGCCTGGTCACCAAAGACGGCCACTCCTCCAGTGGGAAGGGGAGATGGCTACCACGGGTGGGTCATCAAAACCAGGAGCAAGAGGAGGGGGCCTGGAGCTCACAGTGTCAAGGAGAAATGAAAAGTGGGTCCCTCATGTGGACAGGCGCCTGGGGGAGGAGTTAAGGTCACACATTAGGCCCTGCGATGAGAAAAGGTATCCTGTCAGAACTAGAATACCTATGGAACTTTCTCCCAGAAGAAGAATTTATAAAATATCCATTGAGAAACCCAGTTAATACTGTTTAACCTGTGTTTTATAAGGTTCTGGTCCCTTTAAGAGGTGACAATGACAAACTTTCTTCTTTAAAATTTTCCCTTAGAAAAATACATGAACCATATATTCACTGTGCCAAATTCATCTAATACAGAAATCAAGAGGACAAAACATGAAGGATTTCTGTGACCCCAGTTGTGACTTTCTTATTTCTCAAATTTTGTGAATTTATTTTAACATATGTTAATTCAAAAGGAGAAAAAATAGGGGTGTGCCTGGGTGGCTCAGTTAGTTAAGGGTCCAACTCTTGACTTCGACTCAAGTCATGATCTCACGGCCGTGAGACGGAGCGCTGGGTCAGGCTCCACACTGGACACTGAGCCTGCTTAAGATTCTCTCTCTCCCTGTGCCTCTCTCTGGCTTGCACGAGAGTGCGTGCTTGCCCTCTCTCAAAAAATAAAAATAAGTCAGGGCGCCCGGGTGGCTCAGTCAGTGAAGTGTCTGACTCTCGGTTTCAGCTCAGATCATGATCTCATTGTCATGAGCTCCCTGCTGGGCATGGCACCTACTTAAGATTCCCTCTCCCCCTCTGCGCCTCCCCGACTCGAGTGAGATCGCATGCTCTCCCTCTCTCTCGAGACATAAAAATAAAAAATAAATAAATAAGGAGAAAGAATGATGTTTCGTTTTAATCTATCAAAACCGAACTTGAAACCAGCACACAGCATCCTTTCAGCAGCTATGCCCCTAAGTGAACCGGCAGCGCTGGGGGCCCACGCAGGCCCAGCCCACCACCACCACCAAAGAGCAGTGCACAAGCCCCCAAAGAGGAAAGAAAGAAGACCAGAGGCTCGAGCTGACAAAGACCAGCAAAGGCTGCTGGCTCCGCCCCTCATAAAGGACATTTAACAGGGAAAAAGGAGCAGAGATGTGGCAGTGAAGCCCGACACCCATACTCGAAAGAGCCAGTATAGCATTTCTAAGGTCAGCCATCAGAGGAAGAGTCAAAGAAAAATAAACAGGTAAGTTGCTGGTAAGCAACATATTCAGAACTCCAATGTATTTTCTTTCGCTGTGATTGAGGTATTTCAGTTGCTAAATGAGATTCATTAACTTATGTGCTGTTTTTACTTTGAGTAAGGGAATAAAATGACCTTTCTCGACCTTTCTCTAAAAATTCAGCATACTCCCTCTATACCATCCTAATTAGGCCTCAGAACCATCCAGCGGCAGGTACCAGCGTAAAAGCAAATTAAAAATCAGGTCTAAGGCCGATCTCATTTCAGAAATAAAAACATCATACAGTCACTAAAGTCACTTTCATTGTAAAGCCTCTCCCATTCTGTCTCATATCTTCACTGACACTTTGGTCATGGAGACCCACCCACTAGAGTAGCTGATCCCAGAAGAGGAGTCTTTTAAAAATCTAACGCAGCTCTAGGCTTCAGACGTAACAGACAAAGCTCAAGATTAGGTCCCTCTTGAAAGTCAAATCCTCTTTACTAAGAAAAGAACAATCAAAAGCACAAATTAATCTGACAGCCATTTTCACAGACCAGTGCTCTGTCTTCCCCTGGCACAGAAGACAAGCTCCTGGGGGCTTTTTAGAACAAATGCTGCTCCCCCCCCATCCAGCTTTAATCAATCCCATCACATCCTCAGATTTCTAATTTCATAAAATGGAAAAACCCTAACACGAGTTCCAAGAAGCACTAAGAGACCAGTGGTAGAAAAGGAGGACAGGATATAGTTACTTTTGCACTTTGCCACAGAAGGGTAAAACACATACACATACACACACATGCTTGCATGTGTGCACAGAAAACACCAGGGCCCACCCCCTGCCCTAAGGAAGACTAAAATTCATTTCAGCTGGACAATCATGGTGGGATTATAAAACAAGCCCCTAGTCCATTCTCCCCTATCTCTCGTGACAAGAGTACAGTGATCTAATAGAGAACATTCCTCTGGAACACAAACTAGCTCATCTCTAGGGTTAATGCCATAAATTAAGGGGGTTCTGGGGTGAACAAGAAAAATTTAGGGGGCCTTGTTCAAAGAGTTAAAAACAAACCTTGCAGGGTGCCTGGGTGGCACAGTCAGTTAACTATCTGACATTTGGTTCTGGCACAGGTCATGACTGCAGGGTTGTGAGAGCGAGCCCCACATCAGACTCTGTGCTGAGCGTGGAGCCTGCTTGGGATTCTCTCTCTCTCCCTCCCTCTCTCTCTCTCTCTCTCTCTCTCTGTCTCTCTCTCCCTCTGCCCCCTCCCCCAACAAATATGTTCTCTCGCTCTCTCTCTAAAATTAAAAAACAAACCTCCCCCACTACTTCCAGATTGAGGTAAGAATGAATACTCAACGGCACTCTTAGAGATTAACCCAACTGCACTAACCCTGCCTCCTACCTGTCTCTCTCAGACATCTTAGAGGGTTAGAGATCTGTATGAGAATCTGATGAAAATTAGAAGCTTCTTCCTTAGAAATACACATGTGTGCACAAAGATATATATATGGTTTCAAGAGATTCAGTGACCCCATAAAGTCCCACTCAGGCCCCAGGTTATGTAGGGGCTGTGTAGGACAACCAGATTTTATGTGGCTCCCAATATTAGCAATACATAACCTTTGGGGTTTCACTTGAATCTGATCCAGCCTTTAAATCTAACTTCCAATTTGCACCATGAGGAAGCAACCAGAAAAATCTAAGTAGGAAATTCTCCAGGACAGTCAGCTCAGTCTCCAGCAAGTCAGTATCATGAAAAAGAAACCATTTTAGATTGAAAGAGACTTAAGGGACACAATAACCACATAGAATGCACAGTCCTGGATTGGAATCTGATTTGGCCAAAACATGACATTCCTGCAACAACTGAGGAAATCTGAACGTGAACTGAATATAAAATGATATCAGGGAATTATTGTTAACTTTGTTAGGTGTGGTGTTGCTTTTTCTTATTAAAAAAAAAAAAATGTCCGAAGGCACCTGGGTGGCTCAGTGGGTTGAGCATCCAACTTCGGCTCAGGTCATGATCTCACAGTTCATGAGTTCGAGCCCCACACTGGGCTCTATGCTGACAGCTCAGAGCCTGGAGCCTGCTTCAGATTCTGTGTCTCCCTCTCTCTGCCTCTTTCCAGTTCGCACTCTCTCTCTCTCAAAAATACATAAACGTTAAAAAAGATTTTTTTTAATGTCCAGGGGGCACCGGGGTGGCTCAGTCAGATGAGCATCTGACATCAGCTCAGGACATGATCTTGCGGTTTGTGGGTTGGAGCCCCCATGTCAGGCTCACTGCGGTAAGCACCGCTGATCCTCTGTCTCCCTCCCCCTGGGCCCCTCCCTCGCTTGCACTCTCGCTCTGAAAAATAAATAAAACATTTTTTTAAAATGTCCTTATTACTTAGAAATAAACTGACATATTTATGAAGTGAAATAGTACATATCTGTAATTAAAATTCTTTAAGATAAGAAAGTGAGTTGAAAAGGGAAAAATTAAAATTATTGAGAATGAAAATCAAAGCAAAATAAGAACAAAAAATTTTGAGATCCATAATCCCAAAAGATTATTGAAAAAAAAAGTTAGTGAAAACGGTACCTGCTAATTCATAGGTATTTACATTTAACTTCTGTTCAAAATTATATTCTAATTCTAATATTAATTATGCCGATACTGAGAAAGGAAAAAAAAAAAACAAAACCCGCTTTAAAGATTTAGAAGGCCCGGTGTTCAAGGCTAGTTAGCAGTCCTGAGGTATGATCTTACTGAACCACAAAGAAACTCTGATGAAAGGCCATATGGTTTCCAGGGCCTGCCTCTCCAGGGGTGGGCCTGGAATAAGCCCGGGGAACCAATGGACCTCCCAGAACTGCTCTTCACTAGGGCAGAAAGGACAGCCCGGCCACTGCCTAAATGGCTAGCACAACTATGGAGCAGGAAAGCAGAAGGCCCAGATGGTCAGAGCAATCAGAGCAATTCTACAAAGTCTATTACCTGAGCAAGTATCGGACACCGTCACCTGCATCCTTTAGGGGTTCCAGGTAGATCTCCAGCCTCTTGTAGGACAGAACCAAGTTGAAAAGATCAAACGCCGGGGACTTGGTAGGGGCAGGTGGAGACTCCAGGGGAGCCTCAGGCATCACGCTGGGGCTTACCTCTGGCCCACTCCCCTCACGCTCTGATGTCTGCATCCTGTAACCATAATAATTCCTGACATTTGCATTGCACTTCCAATCCCAACACACTATCTCATGTGGTGCATGAGGTTTATTACAGAATAAACCTGTAAAGTAGCAAGGGTTACAGATGGAATACCCGTTTCACAGAGAGGAAACACCATTCAGCAGGGTGAACCGAATTACCCAGATATAAAACCCGGCTCATCTGACTCTCCATCTAATGTCTTTTCCCCACAGATCCATCAAGAGTATAAACCATAAAGACCAAGAACACATGGTTGCTGGGAAGAGGCAGTCTGTTGTCTAAAAAGAAATGATGACCTGGAATATTTTTCACCCACTCTTTACCTGGTTAATTCCTACTCATACTTCAGGTATTGGCTGAAACATTGCAACACCGTCAGTCTGGAATGGGCGCCCATCCCCAATGATCCTAAAGGATCATGAACTTGCCCTAACAGTATTTATCACACCAAAGTAAAACTCCCTGCTTTCTTGCCGGTCTACACTTCTTAACTTTAGTAGGAGTTCCACCAAGTCAAAAACTATGCCTTCCATTTACCACTACTTCTGCACATAGTGGACGGTTAATTTATGATCAGTGAATTAGTGAATGAACTGAATGAGTGAATGAACTGCCCATCCTCCAGGACTCCAGTGCTTTCTCTGCCCTGTCACATCTTCTAACCCTTTCTTCTCCCTTCTGTTCCCAACCACTTCCTGTACCATTCCTGCCCATTACCCTCCCTTTTCCCTTGAACCCGGAGAGGCAGTCACCTCCTTCCATAAGGCCCCGTTCCCATCTCCCCTCTCCGATGGGGAGAACCGCAGGAACCCTCACCCTCTTTCCTAACTTCAAAGTCCTACCCCAAATGCTAAGCAGAAAACAAGTGATCAAAACCTCGGAGCACAGCAACATAACCACGCAGGGGACTGCGACCTGAAGGGGGTGGGGATGTGACAAAGAGGACACTGGGAGCCCGAGATGTCCGCGGAAGGAGATCGGATAAAAGGACCCGGGGTGGGCGCGGTAAGAGCCCGTGTGGGCGGGGAGCCGGTCTGCGCAGGCAGAGGCCTGGACTACCACCACCGCAGCCCAGGGAATCTGATGGGGCCTTTCGGCCCAGACCAGGGAAGGCCACGCCCAAAGCCGCTAGGCCGCAGGTGACGGCCCCTGCGGCGTCCAGGAGCCCAACTCCGTGCCCTTGGCAGAGACAAGGGGATGGGGAGGGGTGGCACCTCACCTGCCCGGTCGCTGGGTTGGTAGAGGAGGGGCGGGGACGGCCAGGGAGCACTGGAAGGGCCACTGGGCCCAGGAGCGTTTCCTCAGGCCCGCCCCACCCCGACGACAAGCCTCTTCCAAGGGCCTCAGAAGTCGCAAATCGGAGAGCCTCCTCCGCCTACCCCGCCGCCGCCGCTTCCGGGACGCGAATTGCTCAGCGGCGGCGTGCCCGTGACGTCATCGCGCCCGCCCCGCCTCCGGCCCCCGCTGCGGCGTTTAGCTCCGCCCACTCTAGCACAGGTGAGCGCCCACCTCAGCCCTGTGCCTGCGCGTCTTTCCTCCCTCAGCCTCGCCCACGCTCAGCTGGGTCCCTGAGTGATCAGGATTCGCAAAATACCGCAGATCGGTGGGAGCACGTGCTTCAGGGTCACGCATCTCGCCACTCTGGTACAAATCGAACCGATCCGTATAAGCAGGAGTCAAATGTCTGTACCCCTTCCTTGATTGCCCCAATTGGAAACTATCACTTTCCCTTCCAAACAGCTAGAATGTGAACAGATTCGAAATCACCGCCCGGACCAAGCTATATTCAGAAATCCTCTCCCTTATCAGAGGAGGCTTTGTGTCTAGGTCAGGCTTGTCGGCTGCACTCTGCCTCTGCTCCTTTAGGGTGAGTGTAGAAAGATTTTTTTTTTTCTTTAATATCTTAACTACCTGAAATTTCACCATCAGTAATTTACTCCGAAGGTAAATTTTAGTGTCTTTGCAGCTCCTCCTTGCGTGGGCCTGGATCACTGGTCTCACACTGGCTGTGGCTAGTAGTATAATTGGTTCTCTCTTCTGGCAGCTCTGCAATTGAGAGATATTATTTAAGAACTAGGCATTATTCTGGGGGAACACTGGAGGATACAAGAAGGCTCTGAAGGCCAGAAAGGGACAACAGTCATGGCCAATATCGATGAACAAAGACTTCCCTTGGTAATTAGAGACTGGTCAGCTGGATTCTGCTTTGGGGAATCTACCTCTGAATTTAGTATAATGAAGTTCTCCCAGTTCCTTGTTTCCCTTCTCCAACATTCTGAGTCTTCATTCTTTGCTCCAAATCCTAGTGCCACTGATAAGTGAAAGAGACTGAAGGAGAGCAAACTAGTAAAAGAAGATAAGTAATAACTTGACATTTTCCAGATGTTAGTCTTTGCATCTCTAAGCGACAGTGTGTATGACCCACATGATTGACTCATAAACCTCACTGTGGCCCTTGGAGAAATACTAGTGGGAAATGCTGGGTAGAACAAGCTGGAAAATAGGAGTGGGGAGAGAAGAGAATGTCTAAGCAGCTTACCTCCACCAGATGGCTCCCTCACCCACTCTTACATAAACCTTGGGGTTTCAGAGCTGCCTTTGAATTTGGGAGTTTCTGTCTGTGGCCTTTCCTGCCACCATTTCCACCGCACGCCAGATTTTGTCATGCTTTGAGCGTTACTCGTTATTTCATTCTGTGTAACAAATTATTTCAAAACTTACTGGTTTAAAACAATAATAAATATATATTTTCTCACACTGGTTTTTGGCTTTTGGGTGATTTTGGTCAGGAAATGGAGAGTGGCTTCGTGGGCGGTTTTGGCTCCAGCTTTCGTGAGACTGCAGTCAGATGTTGGACAGGGCTGCTATCATCTGAAGGCTTGATGAGACTGGGGGACTGGCTTCCACAGTGGCTTCCTTGCACTGCTGACAAGTTGATGCTGGCATTCTTATGCTGATAGGCTGGGAAGAGGTTTCAGTTCCCCACGGCTTGGCACTCTCCAGAAGGCCTCTTGAGCGTCCTCTTGGCATGGTGGCTGACTTCCTCCAGAGCAAGAGATCCAAGAGGGAGCCACAAGATCTATGATATATCCTCAGAAGGACACACGGTCATTTTCACAACATCCTACTGGTTTTACAGGTCAGAACTATTCAATGTCCCAATGTATAATGGGAGGCTTATACAAGAGCATGACTGCCAGGAGGTAGTCATTGGGGCCATCCTGGAGGCCATATTGGAGGCTAGCTGCTGCTATGTGCTGCTCTGTGGGCTTAGAATATCCTTCTTCCTCCACCTGACCTCCTCCTGCAGACCTTTAACATCCAGCTTGAATGTCAAGTCCTTTGTGAAGCCTTCCCCAAATAATTTCTCATTTCCTCCTCTGTGTTTACACAGAACTCTGATCCATCCCCTATTAAGCACCTATCACTTTGCATTTCAACCTGTGTCTATAATCCGCCCCCCCCCCCCCCCGCTTTGTTCGGGAGAGCAGAGAAACTGAAACTTAAAATCCTGGCAGCCCCAGTTTCTGCCAAGTATAGAGCTTTGGCACAGTAAGTATTCAATGTATGCTTATTTTTAAATAAATGAATAAAACAGAGAAAATAACAAGTGTTAGTGAGGATGTGGAGAAACTGGACTCTTTGTGCACCATTGTTGGGAATGTAAATAGTGCAGCCTCTATGGGAAACGACATGTCATATCCTCAAGAAATTAAATGATCCAGCAATGCCACTTCTGAGTATATACCCAGGAGAACTGAAAGTAGGATCTCGAAGAGATATTTATGCGCCCATGTTTATAGCAGCGTTATTCACAATAACCAGGAATGTAGAAGTAACCCAAGTGTCCATTAATGAATGCACAGATAAAATATGCAGGGATAAACAAATATATATATATATATATATATATATATATATATATA